TAGCCCGCCTTTAGGGTAAAATTGCAACAACGTGGTGGCAACACTGACTACTGCACACTTTATTCGGGTTGAAATTTTCATTAACAAAGGTGCTCTTGTCATTTCCAAGAATCACTGAGAAATAAGGACATTAATGCGTTACAGACATACACACACAAACACAGAATCGAATTAGGGGATTTGCTATGCTTTAACCAAAGCAAATTACAAACAAATTAATTAGTTGAAAGTTTTGATAGTGTCATCAAATTTTATGAAAATCGTATTTAGGCACGTCATGTATATATACACTGCAGCAGCTGTGTACCGCTGGGGGACTTGGCGGGGCGGAACGCTACCGCGTTCCTTAATAAATATTTTGAAAAAAAAAATCTTAATTTGTCTGTTATTCCCTACACTCATCTCCATTCATACTTGGCTTACTTTGTATTGTCGCCATAATAAGAAAGTATTATAAAGTATTGCCTGCTGTGAGGGTATGGCAATCTAAATTAGTGCCATCTTTTGTCACCAATACTAAGTAGTTTAACACATATTATTTTTTAACACTAAATTCGTTCCACCCTGTATATCCGATGACAATTTTGTCAATATCTCGTTCACTCACAAGATATCAATGTATTGAGAATGTGTATGGAACCATACAACCCTGAGGTAACAACTATTAAACAGAAGCAAAAGAACGAGGTGCTATAATTCTTAATCCCGATAAAATAATTCCCATGTTTTTAAGCTGGTATTTACTCAGGGGAGGTAAAGAAGAGGCTACGATGACAGCTGTGGGCTTCTTATTAGCTGAGGGAACGCCATTACCGTAACAAAACGATCGGTAGCCATCGGCCTCGGTGGTCTAATGGTTAGCGTGTCGGGCTGATATACTGTACAGTTCAGCCGTCTATCTGTGCGCGCGGGCCGGTGGTCAGGTTGCATGGTGGGAGGGGGCTCTTTTCTAAAAACATTGGTTACCCCAAAACGGCAACGGGAAGTTGAGGCAGCCCAAACTGGCCTGAAGGTGTAATTTTGTTAGTGACGCTTCCGTGTACGACCTAGTACAATTTTGAATTATGTAAATTTTACTTAGGAAATACGAGGTCATGGTCCTATATTATTAACAGTGACATAGCAATCATTTCTGTTTTTGTTACATTCCAATTGGACATATTATGCGGTTTTTACAGCAACAATAAACGGTAAACTATTCACATTACATATTTTCTCAATTGTTAGTTTTAACGATGTCAATAAGGATATTACCTTATTAAAATGTTGAAAAAAGGAATAACCCAGCACAAGTTTGTGTTTATTAACAACACACCAATCGCTATGATGTTTGAAAATATATTCTAGAGCAGTGTTAAAATTGGTCATGTTATGGTGAATCCGTAATATTTACCATATTAAATAATTTATAAAAACTCTTTTGTTATTCTTATTAACTTGACCTTTAGCTATACAAACATGGAATAACAAGGCAGCACAGTTTTAGTAAAATTAAAATATTTTTATGAGGTACCAAAGCCCTTCTAAAGTGCATATTAAAGGTGAATATGAATGAAGTTCGAGTGCAAAATTAGTTGTGAATTACTATTGGGTTGGTGGAAATGAGCGAACAATGCCCTCAGTCGCCCCTACCGTAGGTTTTCTGCAAGGATAGTAGCGAAGGGCTCGCGCGCACAGATAGACGGCTGAACCAGTTCAGCCGTCTATCTGTGCGCGCGGGCCGGTGGTCAGGTTGCATGGCGGGAGGGTGGGAGGGGGCTCTTTTCTAAAAACATTGGTTACCCCAAAACGGCAACGGGAAGTTGAGGCAGCCCAAACTGGCCTGAAGGTGTAATTTTGTTAGTGACGCTTCCGTGTACGACCTAGTACAATTTTGAATTATGTAAATTTTACTTAGGAAATACGAGGTCATGGTCCTATATTATTAACAGTGACATAGCAATCATTTCTGTTTTTGTTACATTCCAATTGGACATATTATGCGGTTTTTACAGCAACAATAAACGGTAAACTATTCACATTACATATTTTCTCAATTGTTAGTTTTAACGATGTCAATAAGGATATTACCTTATTAAAATGTTGAAAAAAGGAATAACCCAGCACAAGTTTGTGTTTATTAACAACACACCAATCGCTATGATGTTTGAAAATATATTCTAGAGCAGTGTTAAAATTGGTCATGTTATGGTGAATCCGTAATATTTACCATATTAAATAATTTATAAAAACTCTTTTGTTATTCTTATTAACTTGACCTTTAGCTATACAAACATGGAATAACAAGGCAGCACAGTTTTAGTAAAATTAAAATATTTTTATGAGGTACCAAAGCCCTTCTAAAGTGCATATTAAAGGTGAATATGAATGAAGTTCGAGTGCAAAATTAGTTGTGAATTACTATTGGGTTGGTGGAAATGAGCGAACAATGCCCTCAGTCGCCCCTACCGTAGGTTTTCTGCAAGGATAGTAGCGAAGGGCTCGCGCGCACAGATAGACGGCTGAACTGTAGGTTCCGGGTTCGAATCCTACTGGTAGCATTAACTTTTTGTCCAAGATTTGTTATTATCAGCAAGTTTGGTTGGTTTGGTTCGGTTATTACAGTTCAATTTTATTATTAAGTCATTATAAAATTTTAATTGAGCAAATTCTAGTTTTATTTAATAAACAGAATTATTTTTCCGATTACTAAACTTTTGTTATATAATTTCTTTATCAGCAAGTTTGGTTAGTTCGGTTAGGTTATGATAGTTTAATTTTATAATTAAAAAATAATAAAATTGAATTTGAGACATTTATAATTTTATTTTATGAACAGAACTATTTTTGCGATTAGTAAACCTTCATTGCCAAAGTGCTCTCTACTACAGCGCTGTTCACGGAGGAATTTTGAACTAAATGCCTCATTCGTACCTCCCCTAAGTCAGACCATAGATAAAACATGGTCAGACCCGAAGCTAAGTCATGTTAAAACTCGTGATTTACAAAAAGATGATTTTGTAAAATACATATCAAGCCAAAAAGGTGGCCGTGGTGGTAATACTGATTACAAGAATGAAACCATAGATAAAACATACGATGAAACTCAACGATTAAAAACTGGTTGAAGTAGTTTCACGACAGTTGTTCAAGCCTACCAAATATAAAACTAGGAAGGGAAAAAACAAAATTTTACAAGTCACTCTGACTCTTCTTCTTCTTGTTCTTGGCTTGCGCTTACTGGCTGATTTTTGCTTGTTGTCTTGTCTCTGTTGTGTTCAGTGTTTCCATTTGAGGGATAAAAATCCCTTTCTAGGGATATTTAGGGCCTTCGAGGGATTGAAAAGGGATTGAGGGATAACTAGGGATAATCAGCAAAATTGAAGGTTTTTTAGATTTTCTAGGGATTTCAGGCCTTTGACATTATAAAATTGAAATATTGATAAAATAATACATTATGATGGCTGTATTTCAACAACGTTAAGGACCTATTTTGGCTAATTTTGCAAGGTATTGATAACACATTTATTATACTACTTTTTCCCCTAGGTTTTGGTAACAAATCGATTCTAGCATAGATAGAAGATACTCCTCAAGGAGTATGTTTTATCTATGGTTGTAGGTAGTGGTAGTGACGTAGTGTTTCAAAGTCGGAACACACAAGGGAAGAGAAACAGCCAACACTGCACGAAACAAGCAAAGGGCTGGAGTCGATCGGTGGAATGGAATGGCGGATCTAGATTACTGTTGTAATTTGTTTCTTTCTTTGTAGTCCTGTGCCCTGTGTCAATGTCGAATGTTTGTTTTCGTTTTGATTTTTGTTTGCCGGTGATTTCTGTAATGTTTTTTGGTTAGTAAGTAACTTGGTTTAACCTTTTCACCAAGGCATGGTGGCGATGTTTGAAAAAGACAATTAAGTTTGAAATTTGGACACTTGAGTAATATTTTTGAAACAATTGTAAATACTTATAAATAAAAATTATTAGTTTATAAAATTTTAAAAATAACTATTTGTTTCATTTTTTAATTAATTAATCTTGTTTTGTACAACATAGACAGTTTTTAATCACGGCTACCTTTAATTCCAGGCCGGAGGCCGCGGCCTTCGAAGTGGCAACGTTTCAAGTATAGTGTTATAAAAGGTGTTTGATTGGAGAACGCTAAGCTAATGATATTTATGTATTTTTTTAAGAATACGAAAGCTTGGTTACTGGGCTATGAAAATGTTGACTCCACATTGAATCACTGAGCTAAAATTATAACTGGAGGTAGCACTGCCATGGCAGAAGTCTGTCAAAAGCGAGTCGCTGATTTTGTTAGGTTGGTATAGCAGTAAGTTTTCTTACCATAGCAATAACATGGCTTCTTATAACTAGGTTGGTAATAGCAGTGAGTATTTTTGTCATACTTGAATACTTTTAATACTTTAATAATTTTCTTTGAAATGGCGACCATACAAAGTAGGTATTTTAAGCCAAGTATAATAATAGCCATAGCAATAATATGGCTTCTTATAACTCACACCTCACGCAAACATGGCGGCTGGCGACACGCATCTTTGACATTCAGTGCTACCTCCAGTTAGAATTATAGCTCAGTGCATTGAATGTACAGAAATAGATTTTCAATTTATATTGCTTTGATTCTATTATGTTTTATTTCCATGTATAGGACGTCTTGCGCTAAAACAATACTACGGTACTTGCAACGTTGCCAAATCTACCAGGCCGCGGCCTGCCTGGAGTTAAAGATGGCCGTGGTTTTAATGGTACAAAAATGTTTTTTATATAGGTAGTATTACTTTATAAATAATATGGGATATTGAAGAATACTATCACCAGTTACCATAATTTAGGTGGCTATTCATGATATCCATTGGCATTGCTGCAAAAATAATAGGTTATCTAGATTTGACGAAGAGGGATAATTGGAGGGATTATTAGAACACGGACTAGGGATAACTAGGGATTTTTTGACGTTGGCCCAGGGATATTTTTTTCTTGCGGATGGAAACACTGGTTGTGTTGTCTTCTTGTCTCGATTCATAAGACCAAGACCAAACCTAACATTTCTTACTTAAATTTCTTAATTTAAATACAGTTTTGGTGAATTTTCATTTAAATTTGTATATACGTAACTTCTTTATTGTGTAAAACTAACCTTCTAGAGTTTAAACTTGACTTATTCAAGGAAGAAGTTGGAGCGGTGATATTCAAATTTAGAGAAACCAAGAAGAGCAGGCATGGAGTGTATTATAGGAATAGCTTTTAAGGACTATGTCTTATTAGCTGCAGACATGTCAACAGTTCATAGCATTGTTGTTATGAAAGAAGGTTTGTTGTGTTGCCTCAAGTTATAAATAACTTAAGTTAGTAGGCTAGTGATTGTTGACTGACTGTGACTGGAGTGTACCAGTTCAGTTTGTTTTAACTTTCAACTCGTGTAAACAAGCATTTTACAAGTCAAACCCAAAGTCACAAGAGGTAGCAAGCCGAGTTCGGATAGCAGTTGACTTCATATCGCTATAGGCTAGCATACTAGGCCTAGTTAGCTACGAGCTAAGTAGTATAAGATGGACGTACTTTCGTATTAGGCCCTATAGCCTATGGAGGCCACTCTTATACAGCACACTGTGGTGGTTATGTTATTTTGGTTTATCATATATTAGGGTACAATTCCTTATCTGTTCCAGCACAAACAACCGAATGAGTAATATTGGGTTATCGAATAATCTATATAGGGATCAATCAATAACTCATTCAGTTGTTTTTGCCAACAGATATGGAAGTGTAGGTACGGTACCCTTATATTATTATTATATTATGTTTGTAGGACTTTCCTCGTTTTGTAATGAATCTAATGATGCTAGATGAGTCATACTTTCGCCAGCCGAATCTTAAAGCAGGCCAAGGTCAGGTCGTTAACCGGAGCTCGCGCATCACCTGTCACCGCCTGTTCTGTATCTGGGTCATCCTGAGTGATGACTCATCTGGCTTAGTTTGATTCATTAAAACGAGGAACGTTCTACAAACATACAGTAACCCAACCTAACATAACCGCCGCAGCGCGCTGTATACCTACTTGGCGGTATACATGTGACAGCTAGCGGCGGCGACACATTTAACTCAACCCTCGCTGTAATCACTGCCTTCTGCGAGGCAGAGTAAGTTTATTCAAAGGCCGCTAGGCCTAGGCGTAATCATATCAAATTTGGACAGTAACAGTAAGGCAATTAAAATATGTAAGCCTAACTGAGGAAACTTTCCTATTAAAGGGAACACTCATTATTACCGTATAAATGATTTTTTTCTCGATATAAGTTTAGGCCCTATCGATAACTTAGTTTATTTTTTTAAATACCTATATCGATAAGTTACTAATAAACAAAAATTGATATATCGGCAATCGGTACGGTTCAAGTAGTGAACATGTTTTCTTTAATAAAAAATAGGTTTTTTATTTAATAAATAGCTATTTACCTTACAAGTGTTTAAACATTTTTACATCACACAGGTGAATGTTGTGCTACGAGCGGAGCGAGTTGCATAATTCACCTAAGTGATGTAAACACGCTCTTGCCTAATGTGTAACCTACAAGATTTTACCTGACCTGACAGTCCCTACAGAGGGTTGCGTACTATATTTTTCATTATCCTTTTCACTCATCTTCTAACAGTAAAGTTCTTGTACTATCAAAAGCTAGGTTAGGAATATTATTTAAAGCATAACAATAAAATTCAAGCGCAGAGCTGATTTCTAGCGTTGAACGTCGTTGGCTCGATAGAGGTATATTTTTTTTTTAAGTTGAGCACTCAATGTTATTTAACTTAATTGGGTTTCATTACTTCACCAATGAGTTTTTGAAACTTTACTACCACGCTTGGGATAGGGGTTTAACACTTGGCGGGATAGGTAAAAATTCTTTAATTTAATAAAAAGACCTAGGTATTTAATTGTTTTTAAAATATTAAGAATCAACACTTTATATTGTAGCCTAAAAGGTATGGGCCTGTTGCAGACTATAGCAAAAACGTATCTAAATTACAAATTGAGCTCTCATCTTACTTAAGCAAAAATTAAATATAAGTTACCTATTGATTATGAAATTTCAGATTAACTTATATTGAACTGTTCTAAACTAACCTAACCTAACCAAACTTGCTGAAACATATCATAATTCTGTTTAGTAACAGAATGGGCGTGTAGGGAAAGAAATGTTACCTAGCAAGTTTGGTTCTAGGTAAGGTTAGTTTGGAACAGTTTTATTTCATAATTAATTTTTCACCGAAATTATTGAATCGTTTGTTGATACTGAACAATATTTACCATAGTTTTCAGCTAATAGCATATGTTTCAATTTGTCAAAATCGATACATCGGTTCAAAAAATGAAATATCGATAACATAGGCCTATTGAAATAAATCATCGATAATCATGAATGTTCCCCCTGTAAGTACCAACTTGCTTTCCGATTAGGGGCCTATTTTATTTTTTGTCTCTGGTACAAAAAATCTTTCTAAAGCCGCGTTTACACCAAAGTTGACCACCAGGTTTTCCACTAGTTGCGGAAACTTGTTGCTTTTTCTACAAAATGCAGCGACTTTTTCTATTGTCAACTAGTGGAGAGACAAGTTTTCCACTAAATTTTGGTTTCCCGTGGAGATTCGGTAAAGATCAAAGAAAGTTTACTACAAACAGTGGAAGACTAGCGCTTTGCACAAGCAACTTGTGGAAAACTAGTGGAGAACTATTCCCCCCCCCCTCCACGCACCCAGGATGTGACGTCAGGCTGAAGCTACTCTTCTTTCTTGACTTTATGTCCGATCATATAAATTAAATATTCAAAATCAATACTTGTCATTCTCAGGAAGTTTTTTACGCTCCGTTGCACCTCAGCTCACCCTCAACGGATCGACGTCATCTTCTCGGAGATCAGCCAGCATGTCACTGCCACTGTAACTATTCCTAGCCATCAACGAGGGTCTCACCCAATATCTTCGCGGACTTCTTGTATAGTGGCTGGCTATAATGTCACAAGCAGCCGCGGCATGGATTTCGTCTTCTTCGTCCAACAACATCCTTGACACTACAGTACCGGTACTGTGTAACTGTACTGATCATTTCCCGCCTATTCTTTGGCAACAAGCTTTCCACTAGTTTTGCTCTAAATTAGTGAGGAGCAACATTTAGTTATACACTTTTGGTTGTAAACTTTTGGTTATCAACTTTGGTGTAAACGCGGCTTAAAATAAGTGTGTTCCATATAATACGAAAGTACCATAAGATGCCTCACTAACCTAGTTTTTTAAAAACTTTTTCATTGTTTTAGTGTAGCCTAATGCTAACTTATGCCTGCCTGAGGTTGGTATCTCAGTTCCCGTAATGATTCTTATATTTTATTTTGTAGATGAAATCAAACTTCATAAGCTGTCAGAACATCTAGTGATGGCGGCTGTGGGTGAGTCTGGGGACAAAACCCAGTTTGCAGAGTACATTGCCAAGAACATCCAATTGTACAAAATGAGAAACGGGTACGGGCTCGATCCTGCTGCAGCAGCCCATTACACTAGGAAAGCTCTGGCAGAATACCTCCGCAGTAGGGTGAGTTAGCTAAGTTGTTTGGATGTACTGTGAGTGGTAGTGGTGTTTCTTATCTTGTGTGTAGGCCTATGCTTAGTTAACACGTTCAGTGCTAGGGGCGGGAATTGACGCTAGGGGCGGGAAATGTCGTCCTTCTTCAATGCCAACAACCTTGCTTCAATGTGAGCTCAGCCATTGGCGGGGAATGTTATAATCGTTGCCAGCCTGTAGCTTAGAATATAAGCTTTAGTCTGGTGTAGGTTGGTACTAAAATTTCTCGTAAAATCCCATCTGGCAATGCTTTTGTTCCGGTTCCGGCCATTTTCTCTTTTCGAGCCACTTTACAAAGACAACTGGCTACGGATCCAGGCAGTGCTGCTACTTTTGGGTGTTTCAGTGAACTACGTCCACTCTTGGGCTAACGCAGCACAATCACCGCTGCTCTTTTTTTTATTCGTCAATCTGAAATATTTGAATGCCAATTGCGTTCACTGATTCAGTTGCGCGGCGGGGCTTTGCCCGGGCCTCGCCGCCATTGGCGAGCGCCTGTTTGAAGGTATGCCGCACCTGAACACGTGTTAAACAATTACAGTGTACAGTAGGCTATATTTGATACATAACAAACATTCACTATTTATGGTAGACCTAGTCTTTAATTAGTTATCTTCAAGTCTTGCACCTTAATAGAAAACATTGTGTTTATGCTGTTAAAATAATAATCTATATCACTACCCAATTGGCTCAAGTGTTACAAAATTTGTTATTGGTAGTGCTTTGTAATTTGGACTAATAAAATAAAACTTGGTTCAGGTTTGTACCTTTACTTAACTATTTATTGGATTAGACTAAACCTAAATTAAATAGGCCTACATAGAAAGACAAATTTTGATGTCTTCCAAGCATGTAAAACATTCCAACTACTATCTAGCGGAACACAGCTCATTAGCATTGTTGGGTTTCAGACACCGTATGCTGTGAACATGCTCCTCGGAGGTTATGACAAAGAAGCAGGAGCTTCCCTGCATTTTGTCGACTACTTAGCTTCCCTTGTCAAGGTCAAGTACTACGCCTTTGGCTACGGAGGATATGTGTCTCTCAGTGTCATTGACAGATACTACAAAGATGGAGGTAAAAAACTGTGTAGAAAACTTTGAATTTAATAACCTACATTTTAGCCATTATATTCAATTCAATTTGTTTATTTACTGCAAAAACCATTGTACAATAAATACCATACATACAAAAATGCAAAGCTATTGGTAAAAGTACATGCTCACACAAGAATCAATAAGCGCTTGAAACATAATAATAATCTTTATTGTCATTCAGCAACATAAAATTACAATAGACTGAGTGGAAACTATAGGTAATAACTGTTATAGGTAGTAAATAAGTAGTTATAGGTAGGAAACTGATGGGAAGTAGAGAACGATAGGTACTGAACAGAGTATTACAAACTTGTAATTTCTTTTTACTGAATTTCAGCCGTCAGATTGCATCCAAACACTATATAAATTTGTGTAGATACCTGCATTCATTGTGATCTAGGACATTGCGGGTTCAATTAGGGCAACTAGTTTCCACTCACATCGGAGTCATCATCAGGCCATGCTATTGCCATGTCGCTTTATTTGAAGGTGGTCAATAGTAGTAATAAATAGAACATTTGTAGCCTACATTCCCACGGACATAAACACAGGCATAAGCTAACTATAAAAGGGAAATAACACTGTTGATAAACAACACAACGGTATTGGTTTGAAGTTCAGTATAGATATTGTTGTGTCCCATCTATCATCTGCATTATTTCCTTTTTATTGTTACTTCAATGTTGGTGTTTTTATGTTCGTGTACATGTTCTATTTATTATTAATGTTAACGTCTTACAAATGATGCAATGATCCATCTAGTACTGCCTGTTGATGACTTTTGATTTAATTTGAAACAAGTTGCCCTTCTGCAACATCCTAGATTGCATAAACGCATGCATTTACACTTATTTATAGCCTACTACTTTGTAATTATTTACCAACTACAGCAAACGCACTGTTACAGGCTAACTGGAGACCCAAGTTGTTCTGATAGATTATATACCGGATTAAATAAAATTAACTTATGAAAAAGGCAATGTTATTTCAGGACCTTAAGTGTATCCGTTGAATATAATGACAGCTTTTTACAGATAATGCTTGAACAGTGTATTCTGATTTTAACAACAAATAACTACTGAAGCACTGTTAACTGGCAACACAACTGCGTAATTTACAGAAACGCATGATTCCTAACCTAGCTGGTTGGATTTTGTTTAATTGTTGCCAAATGCCTGTGTGCATAATTGCAATTTGGGTTAGTGAGGATTTAACTCCATTTAGAATTTATTTGACCTGACCTTTTCTTAGTTAGCCCGATTAAATTGTTTTAAGCCCCAGACTTGTTTCTACCCAATTGTCAACTTCAGTAATAGCTAACACTGTGTTGTGTCAGGATTACTCTGAACATAAATAAAGACTATATCATGTGATTCGATTTGTCAGAAAATTAAATGGAAACAAACCTTAAAGTCAATCAAGTGTAATTTAGATATAATCATAATGGTTCAACAAAAACATGTAGGCCTATTAAATTGACAACAATACATTCATAAATCTGGTTCCAAGAAGGAATTAGCTATCATTTTGTATGCCTACTCATGTTTTATTTTTCATACTACTATATAACTACTTCACATCATTTTGATTCTCTTGATTGACTAGTTATTTTAGCCACCATTCTTTGTCTCCTCCCATTGATATTTTACTGTTTTCATTTATTTAATCTTTGAAAGTAATAACTTTTAATAGGTAGACAGAAAAGTGAGGTCTGAAAATGAAGAAAATTTTAAATTTAAATTTGTCATAGAGCAGGCTGTTTTAAGAAGCACAAGTTTTGGTATGGTGAATATAAAATTTTAATCTTCCTTTCACTAATTCTATCATGGTGATAATGCTTTTTGTAGACTTAACTCCCGAAGAAGGATACGACCTTATGAAGAAATGTGTAATCGAGATCCAGAAGCGTTTGGTCATCAACTTACCTAACTTTAAGGTCCAGCTGATCAACAAAGATGGAATCATGGACTTGCCCAACATAACCGCCAAGACACTTGCTCTGGAAGCATCGAATGCTGCTTAAAGAGGTTTCTATTACTGTATTTATGTTTTGATAATTTCAATGAAATATTAATTAATAAATTCTTGTTCACAGTTATTTATCCCGTTTCCACACATTATAGGCTTAAGTAGTTTTTTACACTTAGTTTTTGTAAATGTCAGGCGAGTCAGGGACACAAAAAAGTAGGAAGTTTTTTTGAAACATCTTTACCACAATAATTAATTACGCTAAGCGTTGATCACTTTCCACTTTTTTATTCCACACCTTTACATCTAGTTGAGGGAAACATTTTAATTGTTTAACCCTTTAAAACTTGTAGTAGCATGTAACAAGTTTTGATCATTTTGGCATTTTGCGATGAGATAGTGGTTATGCTAGTTACGGCTCAAGTGTTAAATCTCTCCTGTGAGTGCTAGTGCTAGTGTCATATTCAGTCCCAGCAGGCTAAAGGTAGCATTGTAGCTTAGTTGAGTAAAACATTGCTCTGACACTTTGTGGTATTTTGCATGGTGTTAATGTCGATCCCCATATGCGTGCAATCCATATTAAGCTTGCTTTAAATTCATGGTGTTCAGCTGAGGTAGAAATGGAGTCCACACAGAACCTGTTTTGCTTCTTTTTACATTAGTATGGAAAATGAGAACACAGGTTTTTATTTTTACTTTTATTGTAGTGTGAGGGTTTGAGATTAGGTAATTGGTCTGCTGTTTCACCAGTTTTTGGTTTGTTAATAAAAAATATGTGATAGCATTACTCTGGCTATGATTGTTATTTGGTGGTGTCCGTCCTAGAGTTACAGAAAGCATCGTCAAATATTTTATAAAGAATTTTTTAAACATAAGTGCTTAAATGTGTAAATATTTAAGGTCAAGAATGTAAACAGAGAGTAGGTGGATGCAAAAATAACCAATCAATTTGAAGAATACAAATCAGGTAAAAACTTTATTTACAAATCGTAAAAATAAGTGAATTGTGGTTGAACACTGGATCACTATCCACAAAGTCGGTATGTTAAGTAAACTATCACTATGTTTCAACAATATCAATATCTTAAGAAAGTAAAAAGCTACTGGAACAAAGCGTATCTAGAAATAAATATAGTAATACTATCAAAACCTATATCACATAGTTTGTCTTATGTGTATAACAATCTTGAACAATCAATAATATCAAAATTACAAATATGAACACATAATGTTATATATTGTGAATATATACATACACTTATAAACTAGATGACAATTAAATGCATCAGTCAAAATATTTGTATTGTTCTGGGGCCAAGATTTAGGTTTTAGCACACCATTTCCCTCATATACAGCATACAACATAGGAGGAGGTTGTGTATTGTTATGTTTTAGATTATTTAAAAGCTTTATACTTTTCTCTTGGCACCTCTTGGACCTTTTCAACAGATTTATAACCAGGTACAACTGAGGGTATTGAACAGTACAAATATTGTAAATGGAGAGCATATTTCAAATTATACATTCTTATCGCTAAGCTAAGCAAACAAATAAATAATAACTCTTATGTACACAGGTTATACAGTGAAACAATTAACATAAATAAAAATAAACCCTGTTTAACAAATAGTAAAAAAAAATTAAAACATTAAGTATTTACAGGGTGGAGTTTTAAAACAGTACTCAAATGGTGTTTTGGGTGTATATGTTAAAAAAACGGCATATTTGAAATAAAACTGTAAAATACAGTTTTAATCTAATATATTTTTTATGGTCCACCTCCATATCATTCCATTTTGTTTACTCCTTTCACCATGAAAACATAATGTTGCTCAAAACATGAGAAATTCACAAGGGAGAGCATAATGTGAATTTCATTGTTAAAGAGAATAATTTATAAAAGTGATTTAATACAAGAAATTGTTGTTCTCAAAAACTGTCGTCAAAGTTCCAACGATCTATTAGAAGCTTTCTATAACATTTCCTGACAAATTCTTTCCATGTTCAGTTTCTGTACCGCATAAACCTTTTATTATACATAAAACCTTCTACAGTCGGTACAAGTGATGTGTTCTAGCAGGTTCTAGGCAATCCCCCACAGAAATATAATACTTGTTCGTGACAATTCATTATGAAAAAGTGTTTTGGTAGGCTATAATATGTTTAGTTTTAAATGGGTATTCATTATAAATAACAAGATTGAACAATGAATTATTTTGTGGTGGCTGCATGTTGACTAAATACAGTAAAGTAGGAAACCACGGTTCCTCAGTTTAGCTGTTTAAAACATGAAACCTGACGTCTCAGAACTTAAAAAATACAAGTTAGTATATTTAGCACCAGCTGTTCAGATAGTCCCCAGCAACTTAAAGTTCCGTAGAGGGAGTCTTCCGTCTTACATAACGGGAGAAATAATCTGGCCTCCAACATTTGCAGCTTCCGGGTACCAGAAACCAGTCATAGTAGAGACGTACCTAGAACAAAATTTAAATATACAGGTATCAGCTGACACATACTTTCTCCCATAAGCTATAAGGACCGTAAAATACTAGTTTAAATCAAAACGGGAATAGGAAACCACATTGTACAGTGACAACTACCAGCTAGACATTTCAGCAACGCAGTCCAGGCAGTGTGTTGCAGGAATCCATTCAGAACGGAAACATTGGTTGCCGTGAAGTTGGTAAATTCCTGCTCCCGACGAAGTCAAACTTGCTTTGTCAGGTCAGGTTGTCTTAGTAGCCAGAGCTCTTTGTTAATTTGCAGGTTATGGCAGCCTCTTCCAGGTGTGTGTATCACATGTGTCTGGGTATTGTTCTCTGTCCACCATCGGGTAATGCATCTTTGTCCATCTCTGGGTATTTTGTCTTTGTTTACGTTCGGGTATTGTGTCTTTATCCATTTCATCTCTTGTCAGGGCACCTTTCTTGTCCTTTTTCCTGCCTTGACCTATCTGGAATGGGCCTTTCACTTACCCAGTCCAGATAGGGACCCACTATCTCAATTCCCTCTCCGTGTTGGGACTTGGTGGTGGGGGAGGATTAGGTCTTTGATAAGTTAACCACCAAACCGTCACTGCTGCCACAGTACAAGCTAAACCCTTCAAAAAATCAATGTTTCAACAAACAATTTTTGAGAGGGTATGATTCTGTTGCCTGGATACAGAATAAATTTATCTATTTACATCCCTGATACTTCAACTATTGTGTATAAAAGGTTTTTTTTTTTAACTTTATTTAATTTACAATCTGTTCAAGTTGAACAATAAGCAAATGATATAAATAGTAATACAAAAATAACTTGAAGAACATGAGCTAGTGATTGACCAACGTCAACACTAGCAAACAAAGAGAATTTTGATAACACTTAGCCGAATCTGAATGGTAGGTCCAATATCGTATGTCGCTTCAGTCTGTAAATGGTGTTGTGATTGTCCAATAAATTAAGTGCAAGATGATTTGAATGATTTTCCAATTTTATAATGTATTTTTCACTATATTTTGTAATTTCTTCTTTTACTGTTCGAATTTGAAGATCATTGTGAAGTGTTCTGTTGGTAACAAACCACAAGGAGCATTGACAATTTTACGTAATAATTTTGATTGGTAACGTTGAATAATTTCAATGTTTGAGGTACTTGCTGATCCCCAAAGCTGAATACCATAAGTCCAAATTGGTTTTAAAACTGTTTTGTACAGTAAAAATTTATTTTTAGAGTTTTGATTTAGATCCAAGAAGCCAATTAAGTTTAGTTGTTTTTAAATTTAGATGTTGCCTTTTAGTCCAGATATGTGCCTTCCAATTAAGCTTTGCATCTAAGTGCATGCCCAAGTATTTTATTTCCGTTACTTGAGGGAGGTGAATATTGTTCATGGATACTGGAGGACATGTAGCCTGATTTAAGGTAAAAGTAATGTGTGCTGATTTATTTTCATTAATTTTGAACCTCCATGTTTTAAACCAATGAGAAATTTCATCCAAGTTTAGCTGTAAATTTGCTGTAGCTTGAGCTGGATTGTCGTGGACAGATAAAATCGCCGTGTCATCCGCAAATGAATTAAAATATTTAATAAAATGTCAAAACTGACTTATTGTAGTTTTGTAGTCCCATAGGATGTCACCCTTGATATGTTTTTATTTTAATTTTTCCATGCATAGCCTTAATGTTTTATTTTTATTTTATATACCTACTTCAAAATCAAAATCCTTGGCTCAGAGCCCATAAAAATATATCTAATCTACTGACAACTCAAACTTTTTTTACTGTCCCACCTTCACATCCTAGGACACTATGTTCTAGCCCAGAACTGTTTTACACATTACTTCAGTACTAAAAGTCCTAGAGGGTCGCAGCATTATCACACAGATAAAATCCATTGGTGGTTGGCGGACTTTGAACCCGGAACCTCGGGCTCCGAAACCCCGAGATCTACCACTAGACCAGCTCTCTCCCTACTGACAACTCAAACTTGAACATTCATTTACTAACTGCATACAACCTCAACATGTCAATTCAACGTCAAGTTCTATCTACAGCGAGGATCTACTTTACCTGGAAGCAGCCTAAGTCGTCAACCCCGTCACAGTGAGGTTTAGCAGCACCATTCTTGTCAGCTGGTACCCCGGCTCTGTCAGAGAAAGTGCGGTAGTGAGGATGACTGTGGGGGGCAGGGGGCTCTCCCCCCACTATGGGGGGACGGGGCACTGCGGGGCGAGAGTCCGGGGGCATGTAGGCGTCTGGGTAGTAGATCTCGGCTACTAGTAGACTTAACCACCTTGGTGATGAGAGGCAGCCTCCGTCTATGTAGTAGCACTTGCTTTGCCTGCAAAGGAATTCGTTGTAACGCACTGTACATCATTGAAGAATATAGACTTCCACAAGATGTATACTAGCTTCTAGGTTGGACCATAGACAAATAGAATAAATGAATTCTAGACCGTCAGCTGCACTGCGGTTAGAATAAATTCTGATAAATTGCCGTGTAGTTATGGCGCACACTGCTGCAGCATCGGCTGGTAGCATACGGCGAGGAGCCGACGACGGCAGCGAATCGAACACCGAACGGCACATCACAGAACTTTCCTTTGACAATCTAAATCTATTCTATTTGTCTATGGTTGGACCCAGACTTAAAGAGTAGTTTGTGTTTACTATCACTATTTTAACCCTCTGAGACGGAACAGATACATTTACGAAACTTTGGCAATTGAAAACTGCTCAACGACACAGTCCAACCCAGAAGACAATGAGTATAACAGAACTATTCAGGAGGTAAAGAACGTTTAGGATTAAAAGTTTATGAGAGAAAAATTTGTATTAGGCCTATATATATTTTAAGAGCAATTTAAATACTACTTTTCACATATCTGCGAAATAAATTGAGACATTAATGAAATTGAGCTTTGAAATTCCTTTGTAGAACTCTACTGCCTGCAAGTAGTATCCACCCGGTGACAATCAATTAGAGGTCTTTGTTTTAATCGAGGCTCTGTTCTGCTAACCAAATCTTCATTTTAGTGCACTATTCAAAAGGTCACTCAAAAAAAGTAATTTCTGGACTGTAGGGTAGGTGGGTGCGGGAAAATTTCACATTGAATGGTTGAAGGTCTGTGATTTGACATGTTAAATTAGGCATTACATGCAAAAACAACATTTTGGATGTCAACTTTTGTTTGGCCATTTTAAAAATGGATGCACAATTTCTGGACGTAACCTTAATTTATTAAGTTGTTTCCATTTTGCTTTTTTTGAGACCATTTTTTTGTTGAGTCATTTTGCAAAGAGATAAGAAACTCAAAAGATTTTAAGCTTAGTGTTCAAAATCCCGAAATTTATTTGGCTGTGGCATTCTTTTGACAATAGTCACTCAGTTATGTTTTAAAACTGCACACTGTAAGATATGAAAGGAAAATCTTTAGAAGAATAAGTAAAATACCCCTGCCACAGCAAACCTGCAAATTTCCATTTAATTAATTGAATTTTCAATAAAAGATTTCCTTATAATTTTTATATATCTACCCCCAATGAAATGAAATTCAATTTAAAGAGTGCTTAGGTTTTCTGCTACAGAGAAGGTGATGAATTGTGTTTTTAATTAAATGTTAATAGCTTACCATGAAGTAAACAATTTTCCCAGATTTAATAAAAAAATATATTGATAAACAAGCAAACTACATTAGTTCACTTATTCTCCATTAAGAGATCATTTAACTTTGAAATGAACATTTTTTTTGAATTACTCTCTTCTCATTTAACAACACTTATTTTAAAGTTAAAAGACGAACAAAAAAGTATATCAAAGAAACAAACTCACAGACACTTAGTGATCTCCACAGTCTGTGTGAAGTATCCCTCGTAAGGTATCTGGACCACGTAGCGCCAGACGCCTTGGTAGTTACGAGCAAACACTGGCGTTGCATACTCCACCTAGCGATAGATGTTAGTCAACATTTTGTCAATTATAGCATCCTTTACCATCTACGCTGACTCTACTTAATCCTTTACATTTTTCTTAACTCCAATGGCTGATATATTTGATGCAAGAATAACATAGACCATTTTCACTTACATACAATACTATAGGCTACAGCTATAACATCCTCAAAATAACATCCACAAAATAATGTAGGATGTTGTGGATAGTCTTGACGTATCACACAATCCCACGGGGGATCTTGCTGATATCCTTTATACCGTGGAGTGTTGCAGTGTATTTCTAGGACAACCTACTAATCCCAGGATTGAAGGGGCTATGTGGAACTCAAATAGGATAACTGAGGAGCATTCTGTGCTATGTAGACAGTGCTAAAGTATTATACCCTATTTTAGCAACCTACGTTAACCCATTACTTAACTCTAATGCCCATAACAACTTCACAACACATAACTACCACTTTTACTCTTTATTGTGAAAATTACTACTATTAGTAAATAATTTATTTTGTTGTAAATTAGCACCTTGGCAGGACAGGGTGTGGGTGGTCCGTCCACAGGGAGAGAGTTGCCGATGTCATCTCGTCTTTGTGGAACGTCGTCTTCTCTTCGCTGAGGTTCCCGTCCGTACAGCGGCTCACCCTGGATGGCTCGGTAAAGCATACATAGTCTGGAAACATTATACAATTTTAATTTTTCATAGGCGTTCAGAGGATTAGGCTCTTTGGAATTAGGTTTTTATCTTGAAATGAAGGATAGTTGATAGAGAAAAAATTACCTATAGTTTTAGAAGGAGAATCAGCTTACAAGAAAAAAGTTGCTAAAATAGTTTTAATAATTATTTTTGAATCGTATGATCGTTGAAGCCCAGGACTTATTAATTTTATGTAATTTTGAAGATGTCAAGTGTTTTATTCATTTTGCATGTTGTGTGTTCTATGTGAATGAATTCATACTGAACACTTAATAAACGTGATTTGTGAACAGATAAAGTGCACTATCTGAATTTAATTCCTTCTGACATAAATCATATTCACGTTAAACAAAATAGTTAAATATAAATACGAGTATACTCATATACTAAATATCAAACCAAAGAAATTCTCAGCCAATTTTTCATTACATACAAAGAAGACACTCTCCTTATAAAATTTGAGTTTGAATGTTTTACTTAGTAGATTACACTTACACCCCGCCCCCTCGTTCGCAGAATTTCCTCGCAATTCTTCTCGTTGTGTTGATCATTTCTTCATGGTAGTTTCCAGTCAGAACACTCCTCAAGACATCCAATGTTTGTTGCAAGTGATCTTGCCTTTGCTGTCTTTTGTCTTGTGTGTCATCTTGTTTGTTATCCTCTTTGTTCTTCTGTTCATCCTGCTTATCCTCTCTCTTCGTCCTCTGTTTTCCTGAAGAACTGAAAGGAAAATATTTGTTGAAATCTACTTACAGTAAATAGAAATATTTTTGTATAATCATTTTTGAAGGTTTTTTTTAAATGCAATAAAACATTTATTTGTCACTCGGCAAAAATACTATATTTGCAATAGCCATTGTCAGATCATCATGCTAAAACAGGCACTAGAATATTGCAGGTTAACATGAAATCAAATAATAGTGATGGATGTATTCCTTTCAGAAACAATGTTTTTTTACATTTGGCTTCTTCAGCTTCAGAATTAATTTGAGTCTTAAAAAACATGAATTACAATATTCTGGCATTATTTGTCTTTGAAATAAAAAAAATCTTCCTATCTCAAAGATTTTATAGCCGAGATGTGTAAAGAAGTTTACAGATAGACTCCACTTGCACTAGATCCTGGTTAAACTGAATCTGTTAATGTGTCGAGTTTCTGTGTATTCTGTGGATGGGTACAATGTTGTACACTTTATTGAGATTAAAAACTGCTGTCTTTAACAGAAGACTAGATGTTCTTTCACAGTGTAAACTAATTACTCAATGCGAGGATTACTGGTCATAAGTAGGTGTATGCACAAAGTATAACAGTTACTTACTAACTGTAGAGGTCGTTGTCATAATGTTGCTGGTACTTGGTAACCTTTGGAAGACTTTCATCAGCCTGAAGGATGGGCAGAGACTTACTGAAGAACTCTAACGTTTTATTCTTCAGCAGGTCACTGGAATTGTACATAATACAGAAAACATATCTCTAATGAACACCTTATTTGACAAATAAAAGTTTTAATCTGATAGCAAATAATATGATTTGGAACTAGACAGTTGATGGGACTTACGACGTGGAGTGTGCTTTCTCTGACCACTTCCCTATTGTTTCTCATAATCATCATCAATTGAGATGGTGACGCCATCTGTTTGTATTTTAACCCAAATACGAGTGAAGGATGATCTTTATGGAGTGAGATGATCTGTGTAGCTTTGTTACTGAGTAAGATCAGCTGTTTCATTAGTCAGGATCATTCGTTAGAAGTCCAATGATCAGGGACAGCTTCGCCCAGTTTCAAACCATCAAAAAGCTACTAACTTTCTCAGGATCAAACCGGAGATCTTCTATATAATACTTTGCTCCTGATGATGCCACATAAGTGGCAAAAAGTACAAGCTTTAGAACACACAAAGAACCTATGGTAAAGATGAGGTAAACTACATCATTATTTGTTCATGAAACCAGGAATATTGTGGAAATCAACTGACTCTTTGTCCAGGATAACCAATAGAAACCCCTATGAACAATAATCGATGTGCAGTTGCAAATATTATTTGTTTCTCAAGATCAAATCCAAAAACCCATCAAAACATCAGGTTTTTAGATTAGGATCTTTGTTCTGTGGTATTGTAAACATTACAATGCTCAGCTATCATACATGATCAAACATTGCCTTATATTTACTGTTGTGCAAGATAATAATGCAATTCGACTAAATACCTGTGCAACACTCACAATGGGTATGGAGAACCAAGGATATTCTGTTTCATTGGGTTCCTCGGGATGAAACCTTTGTTTAGATCGCCACAGAGGTTTCTTAATGATTTCTTTGCACTTAAATCCATCAAACCTGTAAAAAATAAAGTTGTACCTTAACTCTACAGTAATATTTAGACTTTTAATTACTGCCGTTAAGGCAATAATGTACTAAAGTTTTGCCAAAGAAGCCACCTTACGTATCAAAAACACTTTTTAAACCATCAGCAACATCCATTTCCATATTTTGTTTAGATTCTGCTTGTATGGCTTGGCAATAAAAGAAAATCTTGTCAGGGAAAAAAATAACAGAAGCAATCAATCAGATTAAAAATGTAAATTCTTTTTTGATACATTTGGATTAAGCTGCAAGAGATAAAAGATCTAAATATTCTATTGTATATGGCCAATATGTTCTGAATACCATAAAAAAATTAACATTTTCCTAACACCTCGATAACTTAAACTATCAATACCATGGTAAAAACCAGTATCATGCTACTCCATCATCGACTTGAGTTATTGCAAAAAACCTACCATTTGTAGGAGGTAAAATACTAAAAACTTCCCAATAGAAATAAAAAAACAAAAAGTTGATAGATTGATGAATTGATTAATGAAGTCTTATGAACATGACACCCTGGTGTGTTGGTATTGTATAAACATATCATGATAGTAGCCTATACACTAGGGTGTAAAGTGAAATCTTTTCGACCTGAGCTCAAGCTCCACAAAAACGAGCAAGGGTTGTAAAAGACACTTTTTGATTTTGATTGTTTCGATTTTGGAGTGATCGTCATCACTGTGTCTGTCTTTCATTTTGTCACATGCGGCACTAAGGAGCGTCAAAAGAATCCTGATATTCGACAGTATCAAAAGAATATCTCTTCATCATTCCTGTGTTCCTGGTACATGAAACTGTCCTGTCGACAAACGTGAAAAAAACACGGGCTGGGCTCCAGGGCTCCCCATCGTCTTGGATTCTTCCAATAGCGCTCATATGACATGAGCCCAATTCATGATTTAAGAAAAAGCTTATACTTGTTTTAAACAAAGGATACAAACTGTACTATACGAGACTTATTTGTTGGTACATACCAGCGCAGGGTTTGCTGGACCTCAGGTATGGTGGTGGTCGCACCTGTGGAGGTACGATGTTGGGAGACTCTACGAAGGCGTAGTAACCTTCAGGCGTGTCTTCAGGTTCTGTGTGTAATGCATGACTGAAGGCATAGCAGAGTAGAAGTACAAACAGCTGTGGACAGAGAAAAGTATATCAGATAATGTGGAATAGAACATTAACTGTACAAAACGATGCATATGAATAATGCGTACAATTGGGAATCAAAAGATTTATATTTCTAGGTCGCCGACACAGCAAGATATGTATTGTAAGAAGACGGTGAATGAAGGATGTGTGTTCAATAGGAAAGATGATTAGGATCAGCTGTTTCATCAGGCAGGACCATAAATAAGCCCAATGGCCAAGCTGGGTTTAGTTTTGGATGATCAAAAAGCTCGATCGTCCTTAAATCTAGTCCTGACTAGACACACTGAACCACTTGAGTTTTGCTGTTGTATAGCTCGTTTCTGAGTCAATGTTATCATGTTTTTTATCGTTACAGCTAAATTGTATGCCCACTGTTATAAGATATAAGATATGCCCAATTAATTAAGAGTGCATGCAACCTAGGTGCCTATTTTAACCCAATACGAGTGAAGGATGATTGCAGAATGAAGTGTGATGATCCGTGTAGCATTGTTACTGTAAGATCAGTTGTTTCTCTTGCCAGGATCATTTTTATTCAAAGCCCTTTGATTAGGAATAGCTGGGTCCAGTTTCAAACCTTCAAAAGCTACTGACCTTTCTCCAGAATCGAACCGGCAACTTTAGATTGTAAGGCGAGCACTATAACCACTCAGCTACCCAGCCAGTCCCAGTCAACTAAAAGACAATGGGTGAAAACAGATTTTGGCCAAAGAGAAAAATCGGGTAATGATTAATCGAGATACTGGTCAAGTCCACGCTTCCAGAAAAACAAAAAAACACTGTCTTTGAAAAAAATTCTCTGCCAACGACTTTCCAAAATAAAAAACGGCCCTCGAAACAATAGCCCATTTCCCAATAACTTTCTCCTGGGTGACAACAATAGGATAGGCCTAGCGATCACAGACTCGCTGTTTCGGAAAAGACGTGTCGCGCCTACTGCCCTGGAGCGCTAATCTTGCGGAAAACCGCACAATGTCCTCTCGACCACAGATTGGCCTCCAACACCCGAACTGGTGACGTCCGCTGTCCGAGAGACTAAACTGTCTTAGAATATATAAGAATGCACAAGAACTCCTAATAGCAAACTAGCTAACGGGAAGAAGAGGAAAAGAATAATTTGGTTCATTAGACTTGCTGTATGAACATGTAACCATTCAATAATTTATTAAGAGCCATTAGTGCCCTAGAGTCTCACCCGGTTAGCCTAAAGGTACTGTTAATACTGTTCTATGAAATTGCGACCATACAAAGTAGGTATTTTAAGGTGATGAGTGTAGGATGAGTGGCGCGATCTTGTAGTCTTGTTATAGTGACTAAGGCCGACATTCACGTGATTTGTGAAGAAGTTAGGACTAAATTCCCTGGCTACAAGTCCTATAAGGTAGGAGTCAACCCGGAAGACGTAGACAACATTATAAAGCCGGAACTGTGGCCTGAAGGTGTACTTGTGTGTGAGTACACATCACCTAGACCTAAACCTAGACCGTTCCACAATGATAGGAAGAGTTTTTTATGGAATGCGAGACCGCAACGCAAAAAGAACTAACACCTCCTAAAGTCCATATGGAACTAGGCCTAGGCCTATCTACCTCAACATCACTACATTGTAAGTCAAATGTCGTAGGCATACAGCGTAAAGGATCCTGTGTACTTAAATGTTTATTCTTAAATGTTCAAGGATTACAAGGCAAGCTAAATATGTTAGAAATAGAAAGTACTGAAAACGAGTATAGTATTATCTGCTTAAATGAACATTGGCTCGTTGAAGAAGAAGTGGAGTTCCTTAACCTAGACGGCTTCAGAAGTGCAGCGTTTTTTTGTCGGAAGAATTTCATTAGGGGTGGTACTGGTATCTTTGTATCCAGCCTGATAAGTTTTGAGAATTTAAAACTGGATTGGCTCTGTGTTGAAAAGAATTTTGAATGTTCTGGTGTATTTATCAAGGCTTTTAATTTGGCTATAGTATCGGTCTACCATTCACCTTCTGGAGACAGCAACATCTTTCTCACTAATTTGGAACTGTTATTAATATTCTTAGATCGTTTCAAGTGTAATATAATAATTGGTGGTGACTTCAATGCCAAATTTGATGTAAATAATAAACTACAAAGCGTGAAGCAGCTTGTCTACACTCTGGAACAATTTAACTGTCATTACATTAACAGAGCGCCAACTAGGTTCAACGCCTGTCTCGACAACATCTTTACCAACATCTCGGAAGAGTTATATTCTTCTAAAGTGGTCTACCCTGATATGTCTGACCATGATGGGCTGGAGCTTACAGTGGAGTTGGTCCAATCTTCTACTCGACCAGAAATACCTACAGTTGTCAATAGAGACGTCTCTTTGAAGCGTTTACAAGAATTTAAATCCAATTTACTACAAATTGACTGGCTGCCTCTGTTAAACTTTGGTAATTTACCTGCTGAGGACTTATTTAATGTTTTTTTCTACACTCTTCTGGATGTTTTTTACATAAGTTGCCCGGAGAAAATCGTAAGAAAGAAGAACAAAACTTCGAGTGGTGCAGGAAAATCTTGGTACACACAGGATTTGAAAAAAAATGAAAGAAAGGACTATGGCCTATCGTACAATACTTCAAGCTTCTCCTAGCGAGGTGGCACTTAAGGCATACAATTGCAGTCGGAAGATCTACAAATCGGCAGTCAACCAGGCAAAACTAGATGCAAACGACAGATCCATCGAGTCCGCTTCCAACAAAAGCCGAACAGCTTGGAACATCATCAAGAAGAGCACAACCAACAATGTTCCGGATGTCGAGGTGGGGATCTCCCCTGAGGAGTTTAACAACTTCTTCATCAGCTCAGTAGAGGAAGCCAGAAGTACCATCGATCAGCCTGATGTTTCTTCAGAGGAACTGCTTCGTAGGTCCGGTCGTTGTGAAGCTCACCTTGAATGGAAATATGTGTCCAGTGAGGAGGTTATAAGTGAAGTGCGGGCCATGAAAGCTTCAAAAAGTAAAGATGTGTTCGGCCTCTCGGGTTACATAATCCGGTATATTCTGAGTGCAATATTGCTTCCTTTGGTGTTGTGTATCAATGCGATTTTTAGGGAGGGAGTTTTCCCAGAAGTGCTGAAAATAGCACGAGTTGTTCCTATTCACAAAAAGGGTTGCAAAAGTAATGTCAAGAATTATCGACCAGTGTCATTAGTGCCTATTTTAGGTAAATTAATTGAACGAATTGTAAAGCACCAGGTATGTACACACTTTGATAGATTTAAGCTTTTTTCTGCATGTCAGTTTGGTTTTCTGAGTGGAAGGTCAACTACGGATGCCATTGATTGCTTTGTTTCTGGGATTTTGGAAGCTTTTGAGGGAAGGAGTCTTGCTCAGGTGACTGCGTGTGATTTGAGCAAGGCTTTTGATTGTGTCGATCATGGTCTCTTGCTGTGTAAATTGGAGCACTATGGCATCCGTGGTTGTCCTCTCCAATTTTTTAAGTCTTATTTAAGTGGTCGTTCACAGTTTGTTGATGCAAAGGGTGTGCATTCCAGGTGCGTTGAAGTGAAAACTGGGGTTCCCCAAGGCTCGGTACTTGGTCCCCTACTCTTTTTGATTTCTGTCAATGATTTGCCACTTAGTATTGAGGGTTCTCAAACCACAATGTTTGCAGATGATACAACGTTCCTAACTGTTCACCCTGATCTCAATAGGTTAAAGTTATCTGTAGAACATACAATGAAACAAGCTGGGGATTGGTTTAGTGCCAATAAACTCCTTCTTAATGTAGACAAGACACAACACCTAGTTTGCCATACTAAAAACAAAGATTTGGGCTCAGGTGTAATTTGTAAAGAGGTTAGGCCCATAAAAGTCCTGGGTGTGTTGATTGACAGCAGCCTTTCTTGGTCAGCTCACATTGATTTAGTATGTTCAAAACTGTCAAGAGTTATTTATTTAGTGAATAGGTTAAAAACTGTTGTTTCTGAGAAATATATCCGAGTAGCCTATTTTGCATTTTTTCAGTCAGTGTTAAGCTATGGTCTGATTCTCTGGGGTAACGGTAGTAATATAAGTGATGTTTTGTTACTTCAGAAAAAGGCACTTAGAATAGTAACCAAATCAGCTCTCAAAGCCCATTGTAGACCTTTGTTTATAAAAACTAGGATATTGACTGTCATTAACCTGTACATATATGTGTGTTTACTTGATGTTAAATTAAAATTAGGAGACTTGGCTGTTAGAAAAGATTTCCATTCTCATTACACTAGATCTAACTCTCTACTTGAAATTCCGTCCCATAGACTAAGTAAATGTGCCAGTAACCATTCAATCATGAGCTTAAAGTTATTCAATGTATTGCACTCTGAGTCAAGAGCGTTGCCTGAGTTGGTTTTTAAAGATAGGCTATACAACTGGCTTGTTGAACATCCTTTTTATGTGATTAAAGAGTTTTTTGATGTAAAAGTTGTTAAGTTTTGATGTTTAATAGTTTATCTAGTATATTCTCCACCCAGCCTACAGCCTTCTTTTTACTTTTAAACTTTTAAATTTTTACCTGTTATTGTCTGTGATATTAGCTTATTAATCTAGTCTGACTGGGTTACTGTGTAACCCTATTTTACCATAATATGTGACTATGTCTATTGCAAGATTGTTTTGCTTAATGACAATAAAGGATTTCTGATTTCTGATTTCTGATTCCTTAGACACAGCTGTTAATTAATAGCCCATATAGCTAATGGCAACTAAGGGACCTACAGTTTATAGTGGAATCCGAACCACATTTTTGCCTTGGTAATTACGAATTGGTCTAATTATCAGGATAGTACTGCGGATAGTCGTAGTACTCACCCGTGCGGACGTTAATCCACACCAGGGAGTATCGCAACCACAGTGCATGCCTATAAATATATACGTAATGTGTCCTGGACTGTAATAATTTTTGGACTGGCCTAATTTTGATTGTATTTGACAATAATTCATCTCATTTTTGTATTAATATTGTATTGCCGCCTTTCAA